TGTCTAGGTATTTCAAATGGTCTAAAACAATATTGAGTAATATTGCTGACACAGTGTAGTTTCTTTATTTTTCACTTTTGATTAACTCTATGTTAACTTTAACTTTGTCTGAGATCCTGCTACTGCTCTTTTTATACACTAAATTCTACTCTTGCCCTTTATTTTATGTTTGTGTGTCTCTCTCATTTTTATCGTTTCCTGAAAGTAATATATTGTTGAATTAAATTTTTAATCTGCTATCCATTTCCATTTTATGGGTAAATTTGTCCCATTCACATTCTAAAGCTGCAACTACTTGTGTGGTTTCCTCCTTCCTATTTTTTCTCATTATCCTTCTCACCTATTTACCCTATCCTTCCTCACTCCTCTCCTTTACTTGTACCCACTACCTTGCCCTAACCATCCTTCTCTAAGAGTAGCTCCCTTCTCCTCTCCCCCTCATCCCCTTGCCCTCTTATTTCTTTCTGAATTTAAAAGACTTTTATATCCTTCTAGATATGTAAGTTGTTCTTCTTTAACCCATTCCTGATGAGAATAAGGTTCCAGTGCTATCTGCCCTCCCCCCTACTAACTTCTTCTGTATCAATTTTTACTTTTATGTCTCATTTGCATGACATAATTACCCCTTTTTATCTCTCTTTACAGTTTTATTTTTTTAGAATCACCCCACCACACTCAACTCAGCCCAAGGCCCTTCTTTCAAACTACACAAATAATAATGACAATCATAAGAATGCTGCTAATATTTTCACATATACGAAGTAAACAACTTGACCTTATTGAGTCCCTTATAATTAGTCTTTAGTTTTTACCTTATATTTCTCTTGGATGTCATATGTCAGATTTTCCCATAAGTTCTGGGGTTTTTGGTCACAAAAACCTGAAGGTCTTTGAGTTTGTTAAATGTCCAATTTTTTCATTCATGATTAGATTTAATTTTGCTGGGCAAGTTACCCTTGGTCTTAACCCTTGTTCTTTTGCTCTAGAGGAATATAGTATTCCAAGACCTATGGTTCTTCAAGGTAGTAGCTGCTAGGTCTTGTGTAATCCTTATTGTAGCTCTATTATATTTAATTTTTTTCTTGTTGCTCCCAATATTTTCTTCTTAACCTGGGAGCTTTGAAACTTGAATATGAGTATTCCTGTCAGTTTTCTTCCTGAGATCTCTTTCAGGTGGTCATTGGTGGATTTTTTCCTATTACTTTCTTGCTCTAGAATTTCAGGGCAATTTCCTTTTATAATTTCTTGTAATACTGTATCAAGATTCTTTTTGTGTCATAATTTTTAGGTAACTCAACTATTCTTAAATTACTTCTCCTTGATCTGTTCTCCAGATTGGTTGTTTTTCTGATGAGATGTTTCACTTTCTCTTCTATTCTTCTGATTTTTTTTGAACAATTATGTATTTATTTCTGGCTACTGGAGAAAATTTCTAGGGCAGAAGATAGAAAGATGGCCTCAGATTCAGGGTGACCTGGTGTCAAGTCCCACCACTGACATACTAGCTAAGGTTCTTATGCAAGTCATATAATATGTCAGTACACCGGTCAATGCTAATTATACATTGATTATAAATTGTAGAACAGTTGCAGATCCTCTTTGGTAGAAGATCCTCATTTCCTCATTAATAAGTACCTACACGGATTAAATCCCAAGTATGTACAAATAATGACAACAATGATCAAATGATGTCAAATCCAATAATTATTCTTACAGTGTTGCTAACTCTACCTTAGGCCTAGTCAAACTTTCTCCCAGCATTAGCCCATTATGTATATCATGCCATGTGGACCCAGATTTAGCAAGTAAGGATGCTTTCATGTTGCCTTTATCCTTATCTAATAACAGACCATTTCCCTAACAGGAAAAGAATAAGACATGGTGAATATTCATTTATGGAGATACCAGAGTACTTAGCTGAGTGGCCCAAGTTGTCACATCACTGCTCAGTAGATTTAAATCTCATTTGAAGTAATGTCAAGATGTTAAACTGATAAGCTAACAACCCAAAATGCCCATTACATGCTGATCCTAATGATTATCACAGTTCTTTCAACTTATCTCAGGCTCACACTTGAAGTGATAGACTGGTCAGGAGCCTATCCAAAAAGGGATCTTGTAATTGTTTGCATTGTTACTTTGAGGCCAAGATTTGTCCTCAGTAAGGAGATTGTGTCTCTCAGCTAAAGAGAGGCAGCTTTTTCCAAGATCTCTTCTCCACTTATCTGTGGTATTTCAGTGATTGACAAACAGACAAAAACATATTTATTTAAGGATTATCTATATTGAAAACTGGACATGGGATTTTGTCTCTGTCAACATTGCAGTAATATCAGCTGTTTGAACAAAAGGTGAGATATTTTTCCATTCAATCCAGAGTGCTAAAAACTCTCCAGTTTATATGCAGGAAGACATTTGGTTTTATTGATTCTGTTAGCTGAATAAGTTGAAAATCCTACAACTAAGCAAGCAGAAGGTTGATTTTCTCCTTATTTTAAAGGTTATTAAGAAGAGGACAGATATAGAAGTTATTTGTCTTTGGACAATCTTGCACAATCAGAACTATTCAAAAATGGGCCCGTAAACTTTTTTTCTCAAACCCAATACATCAACGACCTGCAGTGTAATGATGTGTTTCTTGTGAATACTAATTATACTTTGCAAGAAGGTTGAATAAAGTACTTTGTTATAGATGGGCATGTCAGTTTCCTTGCTTTTCACTGATGATGAATTTTAAAACCACTTTAAAGTTCCCCCAAAATCCCATCAATTACTTAAGCATTTACCTTCATTTATACCAGAATCCTTTGCCACAAGCCACAGCTTAAGATCATTCTGCCCAACCAGCCCATGGCTAATACTTTTTTTGCAGACAAAGTCATTTCCCACGAACAGCCTCATGAGCAACAAGGAATGCGTTTGGGATAGGGAACAAAAATTACAATAAGGTATTGAATCATAGACTTCATGACAAATATAGTCATTTCCTCTAGATCATACCTTTCTCGTTTGTTCAAAAGAAAAGCATCTATAAGACCAAATGAAGATCATTTTACTGATATTGGACTTTCTCCTTGTTTCTTGGCATCATCTTGGCACTGGAGGGGAGGGAAAGGAGAGAAGAAATAGTATCACATTTCAAAGGGAAAACAAACCAAAAAAATCCAGAAAACCCCAATCAACTGTGAAAAGTAGACAGGATCCTGTTTTCCAAAGTAACAATTACTAAAATGCCAAAAAAAAAACCCATCTATTCTGGACTTTGTAGAAATTCATATCTTATCTTGGAGAGCAAGGAAACAGTCAGCTTCTACGGAAATCATGGGCTGTAAGAGCATATCCCCGGTGTGGGTGTGAATTAATATCTGGGAAGAAATGTTGCTATCAAATGCTGAGTCCCTGAAAAATCCATCCCAAGCACTGTGTTTCTCACTGAGATTTCCACTTCTTCAGAAGTTTTCAATCTGAATTCTATGTTGCAATAGGAGATCTATTCTAAAAGGGCAGCTGTTTCATTCCTTTGCTGGGGGGGCTGGGGGAAGACAGACAATCTGACTTGTAGAAATGACCACAGTTTTTTTTTTCAAATGAAGTTATGCAAATCTGATAGACTAAAGTAAATGTTTCATAAAACCAATGACTGCTTAAATTGTGGGACTAAATTGTTTGTATATAAATATTACCTTTTATATTCCATTTGAGTTTTATGTAGATGAACACATTACTTTAATGACCTGCATTTACAGAGTAAGAGCAGGAAAGGCTCTCTCTGAAATCCTCCCCAGCCAGATGGCTGCCTTTTCTTGCATGAGATTAAAAGATGTTTCTCATTCACAGCACTGCTTCTGAGGCAAATTAATATCGCTGGCTAAATTGCTTGTGTTTTTGGAATAAAATTTAAAGAGAACTTTTTAAAGCAATTGGTGTCACAGGTTCTTGGAGCAGATTGCTCTCCAGGTACAGCATGCTGGTTTTAAACATTCAGTAATTAATGGAAAGTATTCTGTGTTAATTGACTGCTTCAGGAAAGGGAAATATAATGACTCCTTATTAATCATGAAAAGAGATGTACAGCATGGAAGCCCCACAATAATTGCACTAACGGTGGAGAAATGTTAATTAATGAAAAGAACAATGATGTAAGAAATTAGCTGCATAATGCTTGCTCCTGATGGAGGTTGGGTTCTAAGCCCATTACTTAGTGTAGCAACCACTGGATGGTGTTGCCTTAAATAGCAAAAGCCTCTAACCTTTCCCCACTCCCATGAAGAAGAGAACATCTTAAAAAGTTGCCAGCATTTGGGTTTCTAAGATTGGAAGACAGGGGCAGAATTCACCCTAAATGATATTTACTTGAAAGAAAAAGCCCTTATACTATTACACTGATCTGAACTTCTAATGTCAAAACTGTGTCCATATGAAAATGAGGTCATTTGTAAGTGTCATTTGAGTTCAACACAACAGAACATTCTAGTTTGAGGTGGGAGGAGGGGAGAGTCAGAAGAAGCAGAGGTAAATTATTTCTCCTTGGACTAGCCTGAATCCTGGAATTTCCTGGCACAGACTCTATTTTTTAAATAATTCTTTATTTCTCTTTGTTTTTGCCTAATTTTATATCCTTTGGAGAATTTAGAACTTCCCTTCAGTATTACTAGTAACTATTTTTTTCTATAGAAAAAGGACAAGTTTTATTAAAATGCAGACTAACCATTGAAACTTCATCCAATCATAGCTAGAAAGAGCTCAAAATCATTAGTAGCCACAAGGCCAAAGCCTGTCATGACCACTCCAGTGTGTCTCTGCAGCAGCCACCAAGCGAAACATTTCCATCAGCATGATGGGAAGTGTGTCACCTAGGGAATCAGGGCCTGGGGAAAAAAAAGCAGCAGCAGGATTTTGCAAAACGATGGAATGTGACTGGGTTGCTTCTTGCATTCAATTCTTCTTGCACTGGCTGGTGAGGTTGCTTTTGACTTTTTTTTTTCTTTTTCCCCACCCAGATGGAACATTCTTGGGTTGCAAGGAGCTCTCCTCAGTCACTTCATTGAGCCCATCTACTTACACAGCATTGTAGTGGGTAGTCTACATCACACTGGTCACCTTTCCAGGGTAATGAGTCACAGAATAGAAGACATTGGTCAGCTGCCAACTTCATACCGGCATAACCGGCCGCTCCTCAGTGGTAAGAAAGCATCTGCTTGAAGGACAAAGGATTGATTTTCCTGTCCATAACTGTGTTGGATGTTCATCCTGTGTTCACTTCTCAGGTCAAAATGGTATGGCTTTCAGCCACAGAATGTTTTAGGGTTTGATAAGCAAAATGTAGAGACTATGTAATTGTTCAAATAAACAGTAAGAATTGACAGTGGAACCAAAATAAAAGAGCTTCTGAGCCTAAGAACAAATAGCATTTGAGAGTTGATATTAAGAGGGGGAATTGTCAAACCAATACATGAATATATGGTTTTAAATGGGGCTTCTTAAGTCACTGTGTATCCTGTGTTTTTGAAGTAGACAGTACAACTCAAGAGGCACTAACAGTTATTTGCAAGCTTGTTTCAGACAATGACTGTCTTCCCTCTTCTGGTATGATTCTAAGACAAACACTAGTTAGCATTATCCTAAGAGCCCTGGGATGTGGTCTCCATCACAAGGAGCATATTAAAGAACCACATAATTTTTGTGGGGTTCTCTACTGAAGGCACACCACAGGAAAACCTCACTGGAATAAACCAAAAGTATCTGCTTTCAATCATGAAAGTAGGCATGGTCAGCAGATGGAGTGAGTGTTGAGACCACTCTTCTAGTGGTGCTCGCCTCTAAAGTAACCACTCTGGACCCCAGACAATGGATTTACAATACTTCGAAAGATCTGTAATCAAGCTTTTTCCAGCTTGATGGACCTATTAGAGAATGGTATCCAACAGCAAAAGCCTTCAAGAAGCCAGGGTCATCCTAACCCTATGATGAAAAGGCATCAAAAGACTTGCTGGAAGCGATGTTTCCAAAGCTGATCATATTTTGCCTTCATCCAGTTCCTTCTGCTTATGGCTCTTAGAATTGAAAATCCATGTGTATTAACTAACACACACAGTGTACTAAAGTAACTAACTGTCCTTGAAAGGGCTGAAGCATGCTATGTTTCAAGCAATTTTAATTATGGAGCCAAAGCCAAAATCATACTACTTATACCTCTCTACTAACTCGGTTATGTACATATATCATATGTTATCTAATTTTAAAATATTATATGTGTATATTTTTTAAAATTTTAAATTTTAAAATGTGTGTATATTATATAATATACACATTATATAATATATTATCTATGCATGTTATATATTATACAACATAATGTATATCTGTATATGTGCATATATGTATATATACATTCAATATATTCTATATAATTGTGTATACATTATAAAATATGCATGGGTTATTATATAATATACATAAATAATATAACAATATAGTATAACATAAATAATATGGTTAGTGGAGAGATTAGTGAAAATCTTCTAATGGAATCTAGTTAGTAGAAACATTCTCACTGAAATGTCTTGGTTTGGGAGATAATTAATTCCAGGTGCTCATTTTCTTCCTCATCAGAGGCACCATTTTATAAAAATTTTTAAAAAGAACTCTAGCAGATATTTAATACTACTCATCCAAAAATTTTAAACCCCCCAGTCATGAATGGAAAATAACATAAAGGGGGGGGATGTCATGGAAGTATCAATGATTTCATCATTAAGGTAAGACTGATTTTTACACAATCCATCATGAAAATGTTTTTAAATGGACAGTTGTTTTGTACTGAGTAGACAAAACATTTGAGGGAGTAAATTATTAAATGTTTATCTCTTTTGGCATCACATAAACAAGGTAATAGAAAGAATATGGAAGGGAGAGCATGCTGAGCTAGGTCTCAATCACAGTTTTACATCTGAACCAGCTATGGGACTTTGGGCAAGTCACTCAGCTTTAATTTCCTCCTTTTCAAAATGGAGATAACAAATACTGGTCCAATTTCATGTATATGAAAGTGATGTGATAATTTAAAAGCAAGATATTAATGGAAAGTGCTATTGTGATTCTAAAGCATAAGATATTTTAACCTTATCATTCTAAGTGTGACTATTAACCAAGCACAACGTCGTTTTAAAGTTGGAGTGACGCCACACATTTGTGCTTTTAAAAAAACACAAAGAGAATAATACTTGAATCTTAAGACTGAGTAATTTAGAGAATCCTGTGCAAATACATTTTCTGTAATTTTTTGGTTGACTACAAGAAAAAGGTTTTTAAAGCCTGTTATTTAAGGAGATCCCATTATTTCATAACACAAGCATCTTTTTATGTTGTTGCTTTATACTTACAAATCACTTTCATATATGTACATTTATTTTAGTCTTATGATCACCCTCTAAGGTAGTCATAGCAGATTTTAACCTACTTTATAGCTTATATGACACGGTTAGTAAACGGCTGTTAGGACTAGAACCCGGATTCTATTGTCTGACTCCTCATCTAGTCCTTGCCCTACCTTAACCTATAAGGTCACTGTCAACACTAAAATTAAATAATATCTTAGAATCACATTGATTCCAGGAGAGATAGGTTGCCATAGTAGAGAGAGACTTGGAGAAAGGAAAACCTGTGGAATTCTGGGTAAGTGATTTAACTTCTCTCCACCTCAACTTCTTCCACTGTAAAATGAAGATAATAACAGCAGACTACAATGCCCCCCAGGAGAGTATGGAAGGAGTGAGGTGGACCTCTGGTTGCATAAGTAAAAACAGGAATTGTCAAAGTGGCCTTTAGAATTATATTCAAAGATGAATGAGGGATCAATCAAACTTCATCACTGCTTGTTAATTACATGGAACAGGAAAAAATGTTCAGGAGACAAAAAAGGCAAAAAAAATCCACTTTACTTGAAAGGAAGGGATGGAAGGAGAGAAGAGCAAAAGATATAGTGACAGAGAGGGAAAAAGAGAAAATAGAGAAAAAGGACAGGGAGAAAGAGAGACAGAAAATGTATTTAAGTGTTGACTATGTGCCAGGCACTGTGCTGAGCACAGGAAGTACAGATACAAGCAAGACAGAGCTTATATTCTAATGAGTGAAGACAACACAGAAAGGATAGCTGGAAGTGGGGATGTATCATCCACTCCACCTCCTCCCCCAGTGAAGCTCTGAACTCACTCTTGGAATCATGCTGGGCTCTGATGGGCTAGCTTTGGCAATGCTCTTGCCCAAATCCAGACCTTCACCACGCCTCCTGGCCATTTCCACTCCACTCCACACCACACCACACCACCTCCCACCAGGTCATCATCTCTACCCAAGTACAAACATGAATCGCCTGACCCAAACCATTAACAATCCAACCTCTCTTTCTACACTTGATTCCCATGGCTTTCCCTTAGGCATTCTACATTCTAGCCAAATAACTACCTGCTGTTTCCTATACTGGAAAGAGTAATTGTTAATGGTTTGGTGTCAACATGGCGGGTGGTTTCTAGTGGAGTACTGGAGTACACATACTCCAGGGACCCATATTTGGCGCTGTGCAACTGAACATTTATCTATGTCTTAGGTAAAGACATAGAGGGCATGCTCATCAAATTTGCAGATGCCACAAAGCTGGAAAGGATAAATAACATACTGGATGGCAGAGTATGGGTCCAAACAGCTCTGGACAGGCTAAAGCTCTGGACTAAATCTAATAAAATCAAATTTGATAGGCATAAATGCAAAGTCTTGCACTTAGCTACAAAAAAATCCAACTCTACAAATATAAGAGCAGGGCATGAATAGATAGTAATTGTTCCCAAAAGGTTCTGGAGGTCTTAGTATACTACACACTCCACATGTGTCAGCAGTGTGGTGCAGTAACCAGAAAGCTAATGGAATCTTGGGCTGAATTAGGAGGGGCAGAGCTTCCAAAAACATGGAGGTGATAATCCCATTCTACTCTGCCCTTGTTAGACCTCATCTGGAATATCATGTTTAGTTCTAAGTTCATGACATCAGAGTTTTGGTTTATTATAGAGAAAAGAAGGCTCGGAGTGAAGAGGAGAGCTGATGATAGATGTGTTCAGCTATTTGAAGGGGCTCTCATATGGAGAGGAATTAGATTTGCTCTACTTGGCTTCATGGGGTAGAACCAGGAGCACTGAGTGGGAGTGGCAAAAAGGCCAATTTTGCCTTGAAGTCAGGAATAAAATCTTGCTAATAGTTAGAGCTATCTAAAAATAGACTTGGAGAAGGAAATGGCAAACCGCTCCAGTATCTCTGCCAAGAAAACCCAAATGGGGTCACAAAGAGTCAGACATAACTGAAAATGTCTGAATGACAAAAAGTAGACTGGCTAGCCTCTGGAAGTGGTAGATTCCTCTTCCTTGGAGGCCTCTAGTCAGAGGCTGAGGAGATAGTCCTACATGTTTGGGTTGGACTAGATGTCTACTGATGTCTCTTCCAACTCTCAAATTCCATGATTCTGTAGATGTTCCTTTTCCCACTATTTTGACTTTGCCTATATTGTCCCCTATGCCTAGGATGCCCCTCCTACTCACTTCAGACTTTTCAAGACTCAGTTCAAGAATCCCTAGTTCCCTCCAGGACTCCAAGAGCACTACTTTCCACACAAGTCCTTTCTTTATCTCTCAACCACAGTACCTCCCCAAAAAATGCTTTATAATTGCCTTATATATAACCATCTATAAATATGATGTTATATACCTGTTGTCTCTTTGACGAGTTCCTTGAGGGAAGGTGTTTTGTTTTTGTTCTGGAATCTTCAGGTACTAAGTTAAATGGCTGACAAATAGACATTGAATAAATTATTGTTGAATTGTATAATTCATGCCTAGTTCTGTCTTCTCGGGAAATCAGTCATGCAATAATGCTTTTAATGTACTAACAGCCTCTAACCCGAAATTCCTTATCACCTTCTCTTTTCTAAGCCAAAGAATCCCATACCCTATTCCAAAATAAGGGCTTTGCTTAAGTTCATGTTGAAACTTTTTTGTTTCTCATATTCTAGAATCATAGAGCCAAGGAGATAAAAAAGATGCCAGAGATCACAGGCTCAGTCCTTCTATGACCCTCTCTAGGCTTTTAAATGTCACTTAAATTGTCTATACCTTTATTCACCTTACATTTTGAACTCTG